CACACACACACACCTTTCTTTTTTGTAGGATATGTTTGGACCTATTGTTTCCTCTACCATTTATGTTGAGGTGATTGGAGTGGGCTTGGCCATGGAGAGACCCTATGTACCACAGAATAAAGCTGTCTGGTCCTGCACCATCCTCACAGTTGTGCTTGAGCCCATTGTTGCAGCTGCTGACTGGGTCGCTCCATCTTTAGGTTCTTCCACATTTTAGCTGACACTTCTGCCAAGCATGATATCCAGTCTTCTTACTGATTGTCTTGCTTTCACATGCGTGTGATGTGATTGGAAATATCCTGTCTTAGATCAGACACAGATTAGTATTCAAAGTGAGATTCTTACTCTTAAACACTTTCAGTAGGTCTTATGCAGATTTGCCTGGTGCAAAACACCTTTACATTTCTTATCTGCTGCTTCCTGTTAGTGAATTCAAGTAAAATGAAATGTTACAACGTCTGTCTTCTCTTCATTTACCATGATGTTGTCTATTGGGCCATTTGTGAGATTTTCGTTTTCTTTACATTGTATTGTAATCCATAATGAAGGATTGCAGTCTTTAATCTTGAGACCCTCAGCATGCACTTGAAGCCGTCCTCTATTTTGGCAGTTGTCCTCTTCATGTTACAGTTGCTAATGAATCTTCCTCGAATCCAGCTGTCACATTCTTCTTCAGAGAGTCCAGCTTCTTGCGTTATCTGCTGAGGATGCAAATCGAATACCTACGATTAAAGGATACAGCCCAGACACACACCTTGCCTGATTTGAACTCACACAGCATCCCTTTGGTGTTTTTATGAATGGTTGCCTCTTGGCATGTGCAAAGGTTCTGCATGAATATGGCAAACTTACCAACAGATGAGTCGTAGCTGCCATTTCTAGTAGCCATTTTCTGCATTCATTTTTTTAAGCATCTTAAATTTTTTGTTTTTATCCTATAGTGTTTTCTTTTAAATCACCTCCTTGATTTATATGGCAATTTATTTCTCTCCGGCACTTTCTTCTTTGTGTTGTACTTCTTTGTATGCTTGTCTTCCCCATGGATTCTGTAGACCTTGAGAAGAAAAGCTGTGTCCTATTACTCAGCCTGTTTCATGTACCATCTAGCTTAAGAGACACTTGTTTAGTTGAAACTGAATTACACACATTTTTATGTTTTACTTGCTGGAAAAATTTAGGTGTCCCAACCAGTAAAATGAATTTTTGTACCTTATAAAGGAGTAAAGACTCAAATCTTTTTTTATCGTAAAATCAGTTGTCTAATTTTATAATACTTGCTTTAGTATCAGTCAAAATGAGGTGGTACATGGGTTAAATGTTGGGCTACTAAACACAGTGTTGGAGATTCAAAGCTCCCAACCTTTCTGTACGAAGATAAGGCTTTCTGCACTTATAAAGATTTAGTTGTGGAAACCCTAAGACACAGTTCTGACCTTTTCTGTCTTACAGGGTCACTTGATTAGGCATTTACCCATTGGCCATGGGTTTTAGCATATTATGCCTTATTTTAGTCATTGATTATTGCAACATATCTCAATGAGTCCAGTCTTGTGGTTATAGTCATAATATTTCAATGCAGTATTATCAAAATATTTTTTAAAAAGACCATGGTAGGACATTATGTCATTAGGTATTGCTGAGTTGGTTCGAACTCACTGACCTTGTGTACAACAGAATGAAGCACTTATCCAGGCCTGGACCGTCCTCACAATTTTTGTTATCTTTGAGCTCATTGTTGCAACTGCTTTGTCAATCTATCTTGTCTAGGGTCGTCATCTCTTTTGATGCCCTTCTGTTTTACCAACATGGTGCCCTTTTCCAAGGGATGATGTCCTGATATGGCAGGAATGATTCCCAAATTAGTCTTTGAACAGCGAAAGTAAAAAAGTATTACTTTGAATATCTGGTTTATAAAGTTAGGAAAGGGAATATTTGACATTTCCTCAAATTAGAAATTAACATAGTTATTAAAACAAAATCTCCAATTAATACAAGTGGGTACACCCCAAATCATGGAATTGTGCTTGGTGAATTGGAGCTTTCGTAGTACACATTTTTCCTGCAAGGTGAGCTTCAAGTTGGAACAATTTGATCTGAGTTAGTGCACCCAGTGGCGTCGCCTGTGGAAGTTCTCTCGGGTCACAGTGAATTTTTTCATAAAAGCAGTTTTGTTTGAACCTTGTTTTTTGGGATGGCCGATTTAAGAGAACAGCGTTGGCTGTGAAATTTTGTTTTCTGCTCAGGAAAAGTGCTGCACAAACTGCTGTGATGTTGAACACAGCTGATAAATGACAGCGCTATGGGAAAGGTTCAAGCATACGAGTAGTTTTCTCATCTCAAAACAGGTGAAATGTTGATTGTTGACAAACTTTGTTCTAGACATCCATCAAGTTCCTGAATGGATGAAAATGTCAACTAGCAGTGCATTTGGAGTTTGTTCCACCAGGTCAGATTGTTAATCAAACTTTCTATTAGAGGCTCTGTAAAGATTGCATAGCAGAGGGTGACAAAAATGGCCTAATTTGTGGCAGGCAGGGACTGGTTTTGCCACCTTGACAATACGCCTGCTCATGCAGCCATTTCAGCGCACCAGTTTTTGGCTAAAAAAGGCATGCCTATCTTGCCCACCCACCTTACTCACCTGCTCTTGCTCTATGCAACTTCTTTCTGTTTCCTTGATGAAGAGGAATGTGTTAGTCTGGATTGACGAGAGAAACAAATCCAGAGACACTCATGTGTCTGTGAGAGTTTTACATCAATCAGTAATTATATATTAAGAAAACATCCCAGCCCAGTCCAGATCAAGTCCATAAGTCCAATATTAGCCCCTATGTCTGATACTATAAATTCCTCTTCAAAATCACACAACACATGCAATGATACTACGTGCAGGAAGATCACAGGCCTGTGGGTGGAAAGTCTTGTGGATCCAGTGGTGGTGGAAACATCTACAGGGCTCTGGCTGGCATCAGCATGGCTCCATATGGCTTGTCAACAGGAAGGTGAAACAGAGTGTGCCTGGCCTCTAGTGAGCTACTTATCTCCATTGCACCTCCAAAATGAGGTCATCAAGCTGTGACCTGATGGACAGGGTAGCCTCCACTTCTTTACTCAAGTTGACAGAAGATTATGTAACTGCCACAAGGGACAAGAAAGGACAGCAATTTGACAATGTAGAAGAGGTGAATAAAAAAACGAGGGAGGAAGTGAAGTGTCAGATATCCAAACAGATGCGTTTGAAAAATGTTTCCAAGAATGGTATCGTAGATTTGACAGATGTTTTAATTGTAATGGAGAGTACTTTGAAGATGATAAGGTTATTTTGTAAAAAAAAATTTACAAACATAGCTTTGAAAAAAATTGTTTTTCTTGGGGGGGGAACCCCCTCAAATACCTGTTTTTGTCTCTTTTCATGTCTTTTTATATGAGAGAAAAAGGGGTTGGTGTGATAGAATGCAGGAATGGAAGGAAACTGCATCAGTTAAAGTGTCAGAGAAGGTTTAGTGGTAATATTTCCCAAGAGTTTTGCATATTTTATGTATTTTTAATGATATATGTATATATATTATGTACATTGGCTTATATGTCATGTGCATATTTAATTATATTTATGCTTGTACTAATATATACATATCCATAGCTAACTGTCTATGTGTACATAAGTAAAATTCTCTGTGGACAATATGAAATTAAGTCTAGTTGAGTGTGCTTTTGCGTGAGAAACCACAAAGAAAGTTGAGGGGTCGGAAAGCACATAAGTCACGGGGACAAGAGCAGGGCTGGAGAGTGGCAGAGAACACAGGTAGTGATGAGCTTTTGCACTGTAACCTTTCTTCATTCAGAAAGTGCTTCCTTAGATCTTTTAGTTCATAATTATACTTTAGACATATGCCCTTTTTGTTATCCTTTAGCTATGATACATTTCACAATTACACAAGATTGACTTTGAAAAGAATTTCTGATTTTAGCACAAAAAGTAACATGCTTAATCATTTTAATATTTCATGCACACATCATAGAAGCCACAGTTCATAGTAGATTTTTATGTGTGTGTATTGGATTACTCATTATATTGTATCACTTCTCTTGTCTTTTTGTCAGGGTTATATTTATTTTAACTGAATTCTTTAGACTAACACCAGTATGTTGTCAGTTTTTAAAATGTAGTCATTACTAATTTTTAATGAAATAAAACAGGAAATATGTGTATAACAGGCAACTCTTTTATTCATGTGTGTTTGTCTATATGCAACATTCGATGCATGCATGTATTAAACTCATTTAGACAATTGTATAAACAGTGCGTACAGAGCCATTTTGTATGTTCGTGTTTATAACCTGTGCTCAGGAAGTCTTGCATCAAAGATGCAAAGTAAAAAGTTGAAACATAGATTGCGACTGTCAGCCATGTGATCATTCTTCCCTCTGCTTTAATTTATTCTCTTTGAGTCTTTAAAACACACCTTTTTGAAAATTCATATTATGGCTAGGCTTTTAGTATATTCACAACTACTTCTTTTTTATTAACTGTGATGTTTTAATGTTCTTATAACAATTTAGACTTGTGGAACCTCAAAGAAGAGTTCTCACTCTGCCTTACAGGGTCTCTCTGAATCAGAACCCACTCAATGGAGTGGGACTTATGTAGATAAATATTCCCTTTGTAAATTGAAAATACTCAATGTGGTCACAAAATGGAAGATAAATATATTCAGCTTTTAGAAACAAAATCCTTAAAATGCTTATCTATTAAATATAATTGTCAAAAAAATATATATATAATTGTCATGCAAATAAACACAATATTCCTAAATAGGTACTGCCATTTCATCTAGCCAGATATAGATTCGTCAGTAGATATCAGTATTTGATGCTATAATTAAAACCATAATATGTTTCTTAATTTTTAAATGATTTTATTTTGGTTTTTATTTTGAGTATATTAGAAAAACAATTGTAAATGCCATTTACTAATTGTCTGTTTCCCTGAAAAATTACAGCAAAACATCATGGAGGGTTTTCTTGGAGTTTAAAGTATGTCATCATGGCAAAGTTTCGGAGAAGGACTTGCATCATTTTGTCACTTTTTATTTTATTTATTTTCTCACTGATGATGGGCTTAAAAACACTGAGACCAAATACAGCTACTTTTGGAGATCCTTTTGGACTTGACCTTCTTCCAGAATTTCGACAGAAAACTATTCACTTGGAGAAAAAATTTGATTCCAAAAGGAGTGACACAATCAGCAGTGAAGCAAAGTTCAAGAATTTAAAAAGTGTAGAAATCACTATGCAACCTTCCAAACACTCTGAACTCAACCTAGAAGAACTGCCACCTCTGAATTATCATTTACATGTATTTTATTACAGCTGGTATGGAAATCCACAGTTTGATGGTAAATATATACATTGGAACCACCCAGTCTTGGAACACTGGGACCCTCGGATAGCCAAGAATTATCCACCAGGGAGACACAGCCCGCCAGATGATATTGGCTCCAGCTTTTATCCTGAATTAGGGAGTTACAGCTCTCGGGACCCTTCTGTCATAGAAACCCACATGAGACAAATGTGCTCAGCTTCAATTGGTAATTAGTGTGTGTGTGTGTGTGTGTGTCTGTGTGTGTGTGTGTATTGTGGATATATGACTATATGTGACTTTTTTGTGCCACACTGCTAGTAATCTTCATATTGTTACTGATTCTATTTTTGAACTCCTAACACTCAAATTAAACTAACCATGCAATGTTACAACTTCAGACAAGCAGTCTTTAACCATGTTCTTAGAGATGGTTGTTTAGTTCCTAAACCTTTCCTAAATGGCTTAAATTTATTGACTTCTAATTTTTTTCCTCCGGAATTTTATTAAAATTATAATTTACACAAGCTACAGTAAATTCTTCCAATTTAAATATATAGCTATGTGATATCTCTCAAAGGTTTAAATACTGTTTAAATACCATCCAATCTAGAAGCAAATCTTTTCATAACCTAAAATAATATGCACCCTTCACTCCAAAAAACTATGGTTTTGAATTCTACCACTGTAGATTAGTTGCAGATATTCTGCTATGTCAAGAAAATAAAAAAGGAAAAAGAAAAGAAAATTATCCTCTGTGTATGTTAGGCTTCTTAATTTTGTATAATATTAAGTGACTTTCTTAAGCTATATAAGTGTAGTCATTTTCTCTATATAAATACTATTTCATTTTATAATTAAACAAATTTATTTTTACATTTACCTTTTAGTGGACATCAGTTTTATATTTATTTTGGTACT